GAAGTGAGAGCTGGACCATAAAGGAAGCTGGCCGCCAGAGAATTGATGGTTTTGAATTGTGGTGCTGGAGGAGACTCTTGAGAGTCCCCTGGACTGCAAGGAGAACAAACCTATCAATTCTGAAGGAAATCAACCCTGGGTGCTCACTGGAAGGACAGATCCTGAAGCTGAGGCTCCAATAGTTTAGCCATCTCATGAGAAGAGAAGACTCCCTGGAAAAGACCCTGATATTGGGAAAGTGTGAAGGCAAGAGGAGAAGGGTACAAGAGAGGACGAGATGGATGGACAGTGTCACTGAAGGTACCAACATGAATTTGACCAAACTCCAGGAGGCAGTGGAAGACAAGAAAGTCTGGCATGCTCTGGTCCATGGGGTCACCAAGAGTCAGACAGAACTTAACACTCAGATTCATTGAGCCTACTTTAGTTGTAGCTTAATATTCTAAGCAACAGGATTTCAGCCACGGTAAATAACACAATGGAACCTTGTGGTGCAGTGGTTAAACTGCTGCACTGCAGCCAAAATTGTGTTCACGACCTGGGGTTCAATCCCAGGTAACTGGCACAAGGTTGACTCAGCCTTCTATCCTCCTGAGTTTGGTAAAACGAGTACAGTACCCAGTTCTCGAAGGTGGGGTGGGGGGTGGGAATGTGTAGCCTGAATAATTAACTTGTAAACTGCCCAGAGAGTGCCTGAAGCCCTATGGGGTATATAAGCAGCACACTTTGCTTTTGCTTTACTCAAGGATTCATTTAGAATTGTTTTGTCTTTCATTTTTAGAGTATATACGGTGTTCAAAATTATGGTGTTGAAAATTACCTTGAGAAATAAAATTCTTCAAATTCTATCTAGAAATAACTAGTGATATAGGTAATAGAGAGGTAATGTGAAATCCCTTAGACTCCACCATTTTATTTTTTATAATTTATTCCAAGTGGTTACCAACCTTGAACTTTTACTGACAATTACTAATGTGCATTAGATTTGTCATTCCCATTTGTTAGCATGTATTGAAAGGGTAGTACTGGGGATCCACTCTGTTATCTACACTCTAATCCCCTGGCCAGGAGTACAAAAGGGTGACTGAAGCATGTTTAAAAGAGTAACTAATCCACATTGAGAAAGAGAGAGAAAGTGCACGCTCCCCAAAGACTCATTCATGGGCTGAAGCAGAATGTGGCTCCAGTCTGCTCAAATACTATCAAATGGACCACACAGCCCCCTCTCCTTTCCCAAAGGAATCGTACTGGCTAGCAATGTGCACAGCTCTGAAGGATTAAGCCATATGAGTCTTTCAGGACCTCTGAATTGAGTAATAAAAATGCATTCATCCCATGACAGCCCTTCATTCTTAAAAATAAGACTGAGGGATGCTGAATTAAGCCCTATTCATGGGATGACAATGTTTCTGCCAAGAGAACCTGCCCTGGCTTTGTTGTTTCACTTTATTGCAAAGTGTGTTTGTGCTACTAAAATGAAAGGGCTGGCAACAAAAGCAACTGCAAAGAGAAAGTGGGAGCATTCCCCCATTTTTATTTCCTTAATACAGCTGACGCTTTGCTGCAATAGTCAGGCATGTGTGAAATCTTCTCTTTGCTTTTCACAGCTATTTCTGCTTTCCTACATACTAGCACCACATACTAGCACCACATGCCTGCTACCCACCTGCAGAATTTGACGTATGGTTTTCTAAATGGTATACAGTGGTGCCTCGTATAACGAGTGCCCCGTTTAACGATGAATTCGCATAGCGATGGCATTTTTGCCATCGCTTTTGCGATCGTATAACGATGTTGCCTATGGGGAAAAATCGCTTTGCGATGTTTTCCCCATAGGCACCATGTACTTTGTGCCACATGTGTATCATTATCCCACAATATCAAAGCAACTCTCTCTGAACGTGTATCAGTGTGCATCTCTCTCAGAGACCCTAAATCCAAGGTGAGTAAAAGTGCTCCTGAAGGGCATTTTGAGAAAGAAGGCCCAAAGCTGGATGCTGCTCTCAAGGCCAGAGGTTCTGACAAGAAAAGGGTCAAATGCGTTCAACACCACTTTCTAAAGCTCCTTACCACTGACAAAGATGAGAAGGGGCATGCCTTGTGTCAGCAACTTCAGAGTGCAAGGTGCCATGTAAGGCTCTGCTTCTTTAAATTCCTGCTCACGAAAATAAGACCAGTGTCTAGGGAACTTCCATCTTTCCTGAAAGCTTGGACCAGCCCTACTTCCATATTTGAAGAGTAGCCGGACAAAACTTCCTTGATACCTGCTCCCCTATCAATCAGTGGATCCTAACAAGAACTGTTAGTAGAGGTCAATGGTAAGCAGCCAGGGGCAGCTAAATCTTGGCACCATCTTAACTTCTCAAAATTATTCCAATGTAGCATCGCTCCAGGATACTGTAGGAAATTAAAATGACAGCTAGATCCAGCTATCAAGCACTGGAGTGCCAGGCTGGACTCTGCCCAATGATATTGCCAAGGGGCTAGTCCTGGCTCAGACAGTGGGTTGTCCCAAGTCCTGAACTGTTAAGGCCTGTCTGCTTGGCTTCTGTATTTCACAGAACCAATCAGTATTTGATAGTGCTTCTGAATGTTGAATGTGAAAACAGGGTGGCTTGTGTGGTCATAGTCTAACAGTCCTGTTAGACGACGAGCACATTCACAGTCAACTTTGAGAAACACAAACAACATATATAGAAGAATAATTGTACATATAGGTACATCTTAATTTCTTGACTATTCATTTTCTATTTTTGTCTGCCTTTCCCCCACAATAAGAGATTGGCAATAATATTTTCAAACCTACTGCTTGTTTGGGACACAAAGAAGAGGTCTTACAGAAAGATGAACATTTTTGCTTATTTCATTCTTCAACATGAGAATGAAAATAATGTAACATTTTCTCTCCACTAGACAAGACTGGGAGAGTTTTAAAACATTTTACTGTGTGTATCTCTGTATGTTTGGGTGTGTGGGGTTCCCCCCCCCATATATAGGGGAAAAAGACATTTTGGCACTATAAAATCATGTGCAATTTTTTTCTATTTTATGCGAAATGAAAGGATTTCTGTGAAAAATACATGACTCGCTCATGCTGCTGTTGACAAAAAAAGTATTGGCCTGTTTGGTTCCATGTAGTAATGAAAAATCTCAGAGTGTTAAACAACATTTGCAGTGGGGTGTCTGGATACATTGAGATATCCTTTATCACTGAGTGTACAAAAATCTGCAGGTTCGCATAACATCCTTAAGATCAATAATAGAAAATCATAAATATATGCAGCATCCTGCGTTGACAGCTAAGTAGTCGTCTTATGAAAAAGGTAAATGAAGTACTTACATCTTGATTGGTCATTTCCCAGTATGGCCTTTCCCCATATGACACTACTTCCCACATCACAATCCCATAGCTCCAGACATCACTAGCAGAGGTGAACTTGCGGAAGGCTATCGCTTCTGGAGCAGTCCATCTGATTGGGATTTTTCCTCCCTAGAAAATAAAATAAAAATTAAATGACATGCTTTGTCAGAGTGATGAAAGACATTATTTTGTGTTCTGAATAGTACAGAAAAGAGATGTAGTATTCCTAATATAAATTAGATTTGAGAGCATGAGGGCCTCTTTCCACGTTTTCTCACCTTATGAGTGACTGTGGCCTGACTATTAATTGCTTATCCTGAAAGCTTGTTTAAATTTCATTTGAACACCAGGACACACACATAGAATTCACATCGCAATTAGGGCATGGCGGCTGGTGGAGGAAAATCCAAACAAACAAGCAATCAGCACAGCATGATCTCAGGGGCAGCTGACTATGTAGTATGGAAATGCCACCTCAACACTTTCAGGTCAAGCCTGCTGCATACTGGGCACATCAACAGAAATCTGAGGTTAATGACACATGAGCTCTGAATCCAAATTTGCAAGGAAATGGGATGATGGAAGAAGGTCAAGCCCATAATGATCTATCTACATGCACATTGTTTAAAAAGAAACACTGATATGGCTACTGACGCTAACACATTTCTTTCCACTGTGAACTCTTACACTTTCAGCATATTATAAAAACAGAAAAAGTCAAGGCATTCATTGTCCTTGCTTATGTCAAAATAAAGCCAAAATTACTTTGATCGGACTGCCATTTACTATTATTCAGTGATGTCAGGCCATCACTCATAGCACTCTGGTATCATCCAATTCATTACATAATCCCTTGACTATTTTGGCAACCCATTCATTGCTGTTATTCACCACAAACTTACCCTTGTAGTGTAGGCAGCTTCAGGATCATCTTCAAGAATTCTGGAAAGTCCAAAGTCAGACACTTTGCACACTAAGTTACTGTTGATAAGGATATTCCTGGCAGCCAAGTCTCTATGTACATAGCCCATGTCGGACAGGTATTTCATCCCAGATGCTATCCCTCGAAGCATACCAACAAGTTGAATCACAGTGAACTGCCCATCATTCTTCTGCACAAAAGTGACAACAACAATTGGAATGTTAAACAAGTGGCTAAAATCTTGAGGCTGGTAAAGATAATTGATGTTTAAGAATGGGTTGTGGAGACATCATAGTTTCACCTTTGCATGATTCCAAAAGTTCAAGTCTGGGTAACTTAGATGCTAATCACTCTGTCTATGTAAAGAGTAGGTTTCCTGCTTGTGAAATGTGCCAGACACCAAAATGACAGGAGCAGAAGTGAGGGGAAAGGTCCTCATTGATCAGAGGGCTGTGAATCATCAGGGCACAGAGCAAAATTGTGGATTTTTACAAGGTATAAAAAGAAAAGAGAAGCAAAAGTCCTGCACTACACACTAAAGAATAGTTTGGTGATGTGCACGTACTTGGGAGGATTGCTACAACTGTTCAAGCTCAGGATGAAGAGATATTGCCAGTAGGGGCACTCTGGCTTCATAACTGCATTCTGCTCAAGCAAGTCAAGACACTACAGAGGCTTTGCTGACTGTAAAAGTCAGATATATATATAACCTGAATTTCGAAATTTCAGTGGCAACAATAAAGAGAGCCTTACACAAAAATTATCATACATTTGATAGACTCTACACTGGCAAGAATGGTTTCCAATAGGAAACCATTATTGCCAGCATATATCCATCCTTTTTACTAATTCTGTTTTTGCCAAGGCAATCATCTCTTTAGTGGTATCAGTAGTAGGGAATGATTTGACATTTATATGCATTTCAAGTCTTACCTTTAAAAATGTATCCAAAGATCCATTTTCCATGTATTCTGTCACAATCATGACAGGTTTACCTGGTTAAAGAAGATCACAAGTCTATCAGCTGTAATTCCTGGAACAGCAAATTGCTAATCATGTGCTTTTATATAGAACTCTTGAGGGCTATTTCATGGATTATATCACTAAGGGACATAGCTAAGATAGTAAGAGTACATCTAGAGTATAATGTGCAAACACAACAAATACATGTTTCAAAACTCATATCACACACACAGATACAGACAGCTGTGGTTTGTTACATCTACAAAGGTAAGCTTACATAAGTATCACATAATTATCTACTTAGGAGCATAACTGAATAACTTCTCTTTTCTATATAAAAGAAATAAGCAATATCACTCACATGATATTCATGTATTCTAAACTTTCCAGAAGCAAAAGTAGTTTGGTAGTTACTAGAAAGCTTGCTTTTCTCCATGACATGGAAAAATACTGTAGATGTTCATGCTGAAAATCTAAATGGTCTTAAACTCTTCATTTAACTACTAAATAATTGACAGCTTAAACATTCTATATTCAAACCATAAAAAATTTAGTACATACTATATATTCTCCTCAAATTTCACCTTTTTTTGCTCTCCGTTCGTGCTTCTTAAAAAAATTAATATTCACTCCTTTAAAAAAAGCCCTCTGATTTATGAATATAGAATATTGTTTCCGCATCAATGATTCAAAATTCCAGGAAATAGTCCAACTTTGTCTTGCAATATTGTGCCTGTGTTGGCAGCAGGAAAAGAGATGCCAAACTTTATATGGCATATGCCAGCCTGAATGTTGATGACACCGATATCAGCAGTCAGGATGATCTACAGGATCCTGTCTTGTGTTCACTATCATTTACAAACAGAAACCAGGCAAACAAACCCCAGAACCTGACTCCCCCCCCCTTTTCAACAGTTAACTACTTATGCCAAAATTCTTATGTCAAACACAGAGCAATTGTCATGGCTGTTTTTCAACATGTTCTCTAGCTATTTATTGCTTGGGATATGAAGCAGTCCAAGTGCTTAGAAGAAATGTAATGTTCAGACAGAGTATGTTGTACTCAAGTGCCTGCCTTTAGAGCTGAGAGATGCTGGATTCTTATTCCCCTAAGTAAGTTTTTCTACCACATGCAGCCCAGTGCATGGCATTTCTGGGCATCAGTGTTCAGAAAATAAGTCTCAATCACATTTGTTGAGTTATGTGTCATCAAAACACTTCCAAATAGCCATCTCCCACTCGCACACTCTTACTCTCATCCTCTCTCTGTGGCATCGCTCTTAAACCTCTCCCCCCTGCTCTCTTCCCACCACTCTCATTTTGCTCTTTTCCTCTCCCTCGCATTCTGTGGTGACTCATTTCTGTGTCATCAAAACACTTCCAAATAGCCATGTCCCACTCGCACACTCTTACTCTCATTCTCTCTCTGTGGCATTGCTCTTAAACCTCTCCCCCCCCCCGCGCTCTCTTCCCATCACTCTCATTTTGCTCTTTCCCTCTCCCTCGCATTCTGTGGTGACTCTTTCGGTGTTTATTTGATCAGGGACACTTGTGCCTGTGGGAAGGATTAAATCCCAGTCTCCCATCTTGCCCAGGAAGAATAAACCCCATTCATATAATGAGAATGATAAGTTCCCTGAAGTACTAACAAGATTTTGGGGAAATGGCTATGGAACACTTAGGTGAGCATATACACCAGACTTCATGGGCATTTTATTATCTTCTAAACAACAGAACAGGTCAGGTTTGAATTTTTAAACACTTTTTATCAGGAATCACCTCTTCTGCAGAAGCATTCGAAACATTACTACTAAAACATGCTATAAGCTGTCCAAAAACCTGTTTGTGCTAGGGGGAGGGGCAGGTAATGAATTGTTTTAAAAACCCGAAGTTACATTGTTAAAAGCACTTGTCCAACTTTTTCCAAATTTAGCACAAAGATTGTACTGTTTACAATTAATTTACTGAATATGGTCCCGATTCAAGAGCCTTCAAAAGTTATAATTTTTGTTTGGATTGCAGTCTCCTATAGGAAATGACTTACATTGTTTTGACTGGTCATGCAGCATCAGAGATGCAGTCCTGTGCACCTCTAAAGAATTGCTGTGTTTTGAAGAATTAATATGTTTGATAAAGTATAAAGAAATAATGAATATAAATTACTACCACTTACTTCAATAAGTATTGAATAATCATTTAAATCATTTTTATGGATGTGGAATATAACTTTCATTTTTAATCACAAGCCTGAGTTGTACCTATGGAATCACAGTATCTCTACAGCTTCTCTCTTAGAATTTATTTGAAGTCTTAAAATGTAGAGTCTACCTTCATTGATACTATTGAAAACCAGTAATTTAGCAAGCTTCCAACAAAAATTAGATGTTAAAATGATCATTGGCATATGCAGAGATAAAACCCTTGCAGAAACAGCACTTTGGAAAGTACACAGTTTGACATAATTATGGTGAGTGGGAAAATGCAGAGGTAACTATAATTTCCTATCTCAAAATAAAAGAACTGAGGGAAGATTCATTGAACATAACAGGGCAGCATGTTTAAATATAAACAAAACACAGCCCACTGTTCTCACAGCTATGTAAAGCATCATATCAGAACAATTTGGGAACTAGATACTAATCCATTCTCATTTTGTAGGTTCTTCTACAAGTGACTCCTCAGAACATTCCACTTCAACACAATTGCTTTCATATGTTATCCATTCATTAAAATCATTACAGAAGCTATTTCATTTAGGACACCACATTGCTCTTGAAGAATGATCAGATAGGTGCTGTAAACGCTATCAGGCAAGAATAATGGGGTGAAAGTTCATTTCAAAGATACTATAACATACTGACCTTACTCTGACACTTGGCAGTTCTCATACAATCTTCTTTGGGTGTATGCAGTGAGCTTGTAAACAGGCTGAGACTGTAGGATCCTACACATCCATGTTCGGACTTCTAAAGATGATTTTACAAATTTCCATGGTTGTACAAGCCCTTTAGGAGCTGTCACCCTGACTGTGTAAACTGAGGACACATATGGCTCCATGGTGCCTCCTTCAGTTGTATGATGAACCCACAAGTGAGCCTACACTTTTCCATACTCAACTGCAAGGGAAATGCTAAACATCTGAGCCAGAGCACTAAATGCTAGCAGCTACAGTCATGTAAAAGAAAAGATGGCCAATGCTTTTGTTTCTTGCGCTCTTCTGGCACCTCACTACCACACTAATTTTTGCCATTTCTAATGAATCACTTGAAGCTTAGCTACAACTGCATTTTAGCCATACAGTAGTTCTGCAAGATCCAATTAAAATGGGGGAAAGTAGAATTAAGTCAAATACAATGAGCTATGCATTTGAAGAAAGAATTGTCTTGATGAGGAGGAGATGGTTTTATTACACTACCTTTCCTTTCGTCAAAAAAAGTTCTGCATTCTAGTACTGAGACAAGATGAGTACTGTACAGGGTTTTCATAGAACAGAAGGAAATAAAAGTTTGACAGACTGAAAAACATGGAAGGGGCAGTCTGCCTGCTGGTGTTTGCCATCTAAAGACAGTAGTTGTTCCCAGTGTGTGCATCTCTTTGTGTGCGCACTTATTTGCATGTTTGTGCGCAGTAGAGACATAAATCCTCCCATATTTTATTTTTCCTAGAAAAACACACAAAAAAGTGCTGGTTCTGGTCTCAGGCTGGAGGCAAGAACACTAGCAGAGGCTGGAGAATCCTTGAAATGTTCTGTCCACCTGCTGAGACACTTTGTCTCAACCAACACAGAGCAACTGTGAGATTTTAGCTATATCCTTCTACCTCATTTAGTTGGGTGTATGATAGTTCTCTCCTGAAATGCTGAATATTTCTATTGGTAACAAATGGTTCAACATTTAATGCCCATTGGATCATTCAGGATATTTGGGGGGGGGGGGAAGAGGAGAGGATAAATCTGTGAACAAATAAAAGTAACACAGATAAAAAAATTACCAGTTTTACAAAAAAGAAAGTTTTTGAGTCTTCCAGAGCTCTTCATCAGATTATAGATTAGAGAACCTGGAATATGTATGGGCAGGCAGCATAGTCCAAAACTCATGCTGATTATATGCTAAAGCCATTGGATTTAAATGAAGATTGGAGGCCTGACAAATCAGCTTGATATGTGACAGCATCAAGTGAATAATGGCTAATTTTCATTTTGACATTTGGCTAATTTTCATGGACTGCTGCCTTGTTGTGGTGAAGGGGCTTGAATAATTCAGAAAAGATACACGCAAGACAGACAGGTCATAGTGGAGAGTTCTGATTAAACACGATCCACCTGGAGCAGGAACTGGCAGGCCACTCCAGTATCTTTGCCAAGAAAACTCCACGAACAGAAACAAAAGGCTAAAAGATATAATGCTGGAAGATGAGCCCCTCAGGTCAGAAGGCATCCAACATGCTACTAAGGAAGAGTGGAGGACAAGTTCAAGTAGCTTCAATGCTAATGAACTGGTTGGGCCAAAGCCGAAAGGACGCTCAGCTGCGGACGTGCCTGCAAGTGAAAGGAAAGTCCAATGCTGCAAAGAAAAATACTGCATAGGAACCTGTAATGTAAGATCTATGAACCTTGGTAAATTGGATGTGGTCAAAGAGGAGGTGGCACGAGTAAACATTGACATCCTGGGCGTCAGTGAACTAAAATGGACAGGAATGGGCAAATTCAATTCAGACAATTATCATATTTACCGTTGTGGGCAAGAATTGTGTAGAAGAAATAGAGTAGCCCTCACAGTCAACAAAAGAGTGGGAAAAGCTGTATTGGAATACAATCTCAAAAATGATAGAATGATTTCCATATGAATCCAAGGCAGACCTTTCAACATCACAGTAGTCCAAGTTTATGCACCAACCACTGATGCTGAAAAGGCTGAAACTGAATCATTCTATGAAGACTTACAACACCTTCTAGTACTGACACCAAAGAAAGATGTTCTTCTCATTATAGGAGATTGGAATGCTAAAGTAGGGAGTCAAGAGATAAAAGGCACAACCGGTACGTTTGGCCTTGGAGTTCAAAATGAAGCAGGGCAAAGGCTAATA